TAATTTCGGGGACGAAATTCCTTAAGGAGGGGAGGTTATAGAGATCCCAGTTTTTCCCTTCCTTATTTGCTGTATTCCGGACTCGGTTCCGTTGATAGTTGTGGTTGTCAGTATTTCATTTCCGTCCTCTAATGCTTTGGATTGGAGTTTAGAAATGTCTTGGGCGTGTTTCGAACAGGTTGGTTGAGCTTTAGTCCCATTCCTTGTTGCCCAGATTTTTGGTGGTCCACTCGAGCAGATCCCTTCGCACTCGAGCGGAGTTTGCACACCTTCAGTAGTTTGTCCGTCTGCAAAAGTACTGCAGATGTGCTTTTCACGCTCAAGTGTATTTCCTTACGCTCGAGCGGGTCGAGCTCGAGCGGATCTTTTTGCGCTCGAACGGGTGTTCTTTGTCTGTAAAAGTACTGAAAGGAGTGTAATCTACGCTCGAGCGGGTTTCCCTTTGCGCTCGAGCGGGTTTGTTTTGCAGTTGTGTCTTGATGCTCGAGCAGGTATTCTTGCGCTCGAGCGGGTTCAGTTTTTATGCTTGACGCTCGAGCATCTTATTCTCCGCTCGAGCAGACTAGTCGTATATTAGATTGCAGCTGGGTGATTTTAAATCACTTTTGACACTTTATTTCTCTATCTTACTTTTCAAAACCTCTATTGAAGAGCACCTCACTCTAAAACTCCAACTTCTCTCTAGGGTTTGATCTAGTATGAGTGATCTTCTATCCTTGAGCCTTTGTAAAAAGTGTGGAGCTTGTTGAGGGCTACATATTGATCCGAAAATATTGGGGTTTGGAGCATTTCGAATTTCTTCATCTTCCTCCTTTGAGCTCCGACTTTGAGGTAGGGATAACTACTCATTTTTATGAGCTTTAACCTAAATGTTGAGCTTTTTGTATAAATGTTTTGATTTGGGAAGTTAGGGTTTGAGAGGTGTTATATTGGAAAGAGGGGTTTTGTTCTTTTGATTCAAACATATGTGTTTTGGGTCTAAAAAGAAGTTTATTGATGTTGTTGATAATATTTGGACCTTTGGGTCAATGTTGAAGAAAGAGGAAAAATGCCATGTTTGGGTATATTTGGGTCATTAGTGTAATTAATAACATTTATCATGGAAATATGAAATTGAGTGGAAATAATGAAATTGGCTCATTATGAGGTAGAATGGTGAAGTTGGATTCATTAATCACTCACCTTTGAAATTGTTGATAAATTATCTATTGATATAATTATTGTCTGTTTAGAAATAATTACTTTGGGCTATCGGTGGAGGATAGTCATGATTGTTGTAGACATTGCATGATGATTAGGCAAATTAAAACTAATCGATTGTATGTCATTGATTATGATGAATGGAATAATACATCAAATTTGTGTATTGATTGAACATGTATATGATAGATGCTTATATACATTGTGTTGTGTGGGAGAAGATAGGGGATGTATTCTACGGTTTAGGGGGAGATAGGGGATGGATTCCTAAACCGGATATTGTTTGGGAAGAGATAGGAGATGTACTCTATTGATACAGCAAATATGTGTATCTATTGAAGTATTGATACAGCGAATATGTGTATCTATTGTGAAGTATGGAAGTGTTTTGTGTAATATTAATACAGCGAATATGTGTATCTATTGTGATGAATAGAAGTGTTGTTTATATGAGATGTAATCTCACTTAAATAGTTTGGCCAAGTTCTGAGCCACGATTATGAATTGAGAATCGGTTAAGTAAAGGAAAGAGAAATAAAACATAGACATATTTGTCATGTAATTGAAACAAATTATGAATTGATTTATGTGAGTTAAACATTTATCAAATGCTAATGTTTTAGTTTTTGCTCATATTATGTTTAGCATATCTCTACTAGGCGTTGGCTCACCCTATATGGGACATCATTTTCAAGTACAGGTGTTATGCCACCTCCAATGACGTAGATTGGGAGGCTTGAGGCTGTTAGACTCTTTTTGTTGTTTTTGTTGTATTACATGTATATCAAGCCAAGGGCTTATTTTGTGTAGAGTTAGTACTCTCCTTCTTGTAACCAAGTGTTGACTTGGAAAGTTGTAAACCCGTGGGGCACTTACTTTTGATGTCAACATGCAATACTTTTGTAATGAATACTCTGATGAATGAAATTATGCTTTACTCTCTTATGTCTGAGCATGTTAGGATTGTATGATTTATGGTTTTATTTTGAGGGCGTTACAACTGTTGAATTGAGTATTGAATTGAGTGTAAAATTGAGTTTTGAAAGTTTGATTTGACATGTGAAGTAAGAAAATTTGTTTGGTTATGAGTTTTGGAAAGAATTTTCAAAACTTAATTCAAATTGTTGTAACTCATAATAAAACACACTACTTTCACACTGTTGAAAATTCTGATCAACACTCATAACCAAACTCTTTTTAAAATTCAATTAAAAAATTTTATTATTAACAGAAAATAGCATTAATTAATTTTTCAATTGAAAATACTACAAGGAAATAATTTTTTTTCAAAATAAATATTTAAAAAATTTAAATCATAAATATTTAAATAATTTAAATAATCTAAAAAATTTAATAAGTAAAAAATTAAAATAAATATTCAAAAAATTTAAATCGTAAAAATTTAAATATTTTAAATATTCAAAAAATTATTTTAACAAAAAAATTTAAATAATTTAAATATTCAAAAAATTTAAATAATTTAAAATGTTAATATTTTAAATTTAAAAATAACTCTAAACTCAAATCGTTACCAAATACATAAAATAAAACTCAAGTAATAAATTATTTTTAAAACTCATAACCAAACACATAATTTGAAACTTCATATTACTTTCACAACTCTACACTCAAATCATAATCAAATACATAACAAAAAAAAATTAAAATATTTAAAACTATTTTTATAAAATAGAGTTTAAATTTATTTTTATAAAATATTTAAACAAAAAACAAAAAAATGTGTTTGATTTTTTTTTTCAACTTTCTTTGTTTTTTCTGGAAAAATGTGTTTTTTGGGAATTTTTTTTTATTTTTCTAATTTTTTGTGTGTGCTACCGCATGCCCCTCTTTCGGGAGAGGTAGTTTCGTAAATTTAGCTTAGCGTTGGAACTTGCCAAGCAGCTGTGAAGCTTTTGTCCTTTAGTGGCTAAATAAGCCTCTTTTGGCACCGTTTGGGAAGCAAGATTTGAGGCTTTTTTTACTATTTTAGCCACAAAAGATAAAATAGGTTATTTTAGCCACAACAAACAAAACATCACATCCAACCCATAATCATTACACTCTTCTCTCACAAAAAAAAGTCAAAAAAGTCAAAAAGTCAAAAAGCCAAAAAGCCAAAAAGCCAAAAAGCCAAAAAGCCAAAAAGCCAAAAAGCCAAAAAGCCAAAAAGCCAAAAAGCCAAAAAGCCAAAAAGCCAAAAAGCCAAAAAGCCAAAAAGCCAAAAAGCCAAAAAGCTTATTATTATTATTATAATAAATCTTGCCTCTAAATTAGAGATTTCCACCATAAATTTATTTTATATTTAAAATTAATTAAAAGACCCTCCAACAATATTTAATTTGTACTTTAGGATTCACTATGAAAATATTTGAGATTGTAAAATTATTATCACTTAATTATTTGTTTGATTTTTATATTCAGTTTCTCACAGTACTTTTGGTTATGTTTACACGTTGGGTGGTACAACATTGAGTTGGATTTCACAATTATAGAAGATTATGGCCCTTTCCACAAAAGAGGTTGAGTATGGTGCTATTACTGAAGCTGGGAAGGAAATGACTTGGTTACAAAAGTTCTTAACAGAGTTGGGTAAGACGCAAGAGATGAGTATTTTACTATTCATCTTGCAAGGAATCCGGCTTTTCATTATAGGACGAAACACATTTAGCTGCGATACCATTTCATTCATTCACTTATAGATGATGGAGTCTTGTCTCTTGAGAAGATTCAAGACAATAAGAATCCAACAGATATGTTGACCAAGACAGTCACCATTGACAAACTTCAGTTGGCCTTCAAGATTGATGAAGAAAGATCGAGTTATTGCGACGTTCCTCTATGTGATGAAGATGATGGAGAGTTTGTGTTATTAGGTTCCAAGTGGAACATTGTTGGATCGGTGGACCCTGATAAGTACTGTTCACTCAACTCTATTGTTTACTCAAACACTGGGTCTAATGGGGGTTTTTTAGATACTTTCGTAATTCCCATGTGCTTCTGTATAACCATAATTATAAATAGATGGCGGGGCGACTCTTTTAGGTTAAAAGAGAGTTGTATTTTTCTAATCATAGTGAAAACTGCAACAACCGTAGACGTAACCCTATTCTGGGGTGAACCACATAAATCCTTGTGTTTTTGTGGGTGTGATTTGTTTTGATTCGTTAATTTCTTTCTTGTTTGTTATTTCGTGTCTCATCGATCTTGGTTAAGAACGGTCAATTCCTAACACATGTTTTTAGTAAGATTGTTAATATGAATTTAAATATATGTAGTATTTTTCAAATTTTTTTTGTCACATCATCGATTGAGATTATTACGTAAATAATATTACATAATATTTCAAAACTACTGAATAAATATCCAATTAGAATAAACTAGAGACTTAAAAGCTACTATTGAATTATAGTAAATCTATTCAAAGTGAGTTCATGACCTTGTGGTTTAGTAGCATAGAAACAACATTTTTGCAAGGTAGAAGTTGAAGGTTTAACTCCTCAAAATCTAATCTAACAATTAATACTTAACGTTTTTTGATTAAAAATAAAAAATAAAAATTAGTGTAGCCACCACCCCTTAGTCTATAGACAATCATGGGTTCGCCACTATTTAGGTAGAAGTGTCAACAGATTGGCATTTTATTATGTAATGGTGACTTGATGTCCTTGGAAATTTAGTGAGATAGGATAGCAAATTCAAGTCTACCAACATCTCTGACTTTTCTTTGCACAACTCATGGAGGTGATCACGCATAAACCAAGAACTATATAGCCGCCGTGAAACAATATATAAACCCCTCAAATGTTTGTTCACAATACCACATCAATACAATCCCATAAAAACTCCTAATACTTGCTTAAGCATATAACTCTAAGTCAGCAGCATGAGCTTCCCCAAAAGCCTTACCATTTTATTCCCTCTCCTCTTCACCCTATTGATCCCCTTCACCAATGCAGCTACCTTTGCTGTCCTAAACAAATGTACCTACACGGTTTGGGCCGCTGCCTCACCCGGTGGGGGTATGCATCTTGACCCAGGCCAGTCTTGGACCGTCAATGTGAACCCGGGTACAACCCAAGCTCGCATTTGGGGCCGGACCAACTGCAACTTCGATGCCAATGGCAATGGCCAATGTCAGACCGGGGACTGCAATGGGCTCCTCCAGTGCCAAGGCTACGGTAAGGCCCCAAATACCCTAGCTGAATTCGCGTTGAACCAGCCCAATAACTTGGACTTTGTTGACATATCCAACGTTGATGGATTCAACATTCCGATGGACTTTAGCCCCACCACTGCGGTCTGCAAGTCACTCCGGTGCGCTGCTAACATAGTTGGCGAGTGCCCAGCCGAGTTGCAGACCCCGGGTGGGTGCAACAACCCATGTACCGTTTACAAGACCAATCAATATTGTTGCACTGATGGGCCTGGGACCTGTGGGCCTACACCTTTGTCCAAGTTCTTCAAGGATAGGTGCCCAGATGCTTATAGCTATCCTCAGGATGATCCAACCAGTTTGTTCACTTGCCCCGCTGGTACCAATTATGCTATTACCTTCTGCCCTTGAGGCCTCTTTTTCACTCCCTTCCCTCTCTTTATAATTATAGGACAGTGTTATAAGTACAATAAGACCTCACTAGTTTCAATCTTTTGTGAGATTCAGACACTGTTGTTTAATAAATTTGTGCACATTTAGTGTTGTCCACAAAGTCTGTTTTGTCATATGCTATTGTTTTTAGTCGCTTGTAATTCGATATCTAGGCTAAGAAAGAATGAATATACATATGAAAATTATGATTACAACTGCTTGTTCGCACTTAAGGTGTTGATTATGTTTAGATAGCTTTGTTATGCATATATATGGAAGTTCTGATGGAAATATTTTAGCTAGAGCATGATTAATGCCTAATGGGTTGATCAATGGCAAAAAAGGAAAATATTTTAGACTCCTAAACTTTTTTCATAATAGAACCACAATAATGTGCTATGATAGATGTCAATTTTGATTTGTCACAGATTTAATATAAATCCAACTCCCTTGTTATGTAATTGCGGTGAATTTGAAGGTATAAATAAATTGTGGATCCCAAACATTTTTTGGCAAAAAAATATAAAGCAAGATCACTGAGGCCATGAATTAGACCGGAAAAGCTGAAATTAAGCAAAGCAAATCTGCAACTGCATCTAATTTGGATAATTTCATAAAAGACGGGCATGTTTACTTGGGCAGACATGGTTTTGGAAATGAATTAATAATTTAACAAAATATATAATCTCATGTTTGATTAAAAAAATCAAGATTCAAACTAATAGTTCATTCAGACATGGTATCTCCTATGTAGGAGACTATTGAATCTCAATAGGGAGGTGAAATACAAAATAGATAACTAGACTTATTAGTTAAATTATAAAATTAATAAAATTTTATTAATTTTATAATTTAACTAATAAGTCTAGTTATCTATTTTGTATTTCACCTCCCTATTGAGATTCAATAGTCTCCTACATAGGAGATACCATGTCTGAATGAACTATTAGTTTGAATCTTGATTTTTTTAATCAAACATTACATTATATATTTTGTTAAATTATTAATTCAATTTCAAATCCATGTCTGCCTAGGCAGACATGGATTTGAAATTGAATTAATAATTTAACAAAATATATAAT